TTGAAAGTTCCCCCTCCCCCTTCTTTCTTGGAAAATGTTTCGAAAAAAAGAAAACTCAATTCACGTACATCTGGTGAAAATTTTGCTTTGTTTAATTTCAAAAATACCAGTATACTTTGTTATACTGAGAAAAGATCTTTCAGTAATGTCACTCAGACGATAATGTGAAATTTTCGGTTTCAACTAGCCTTCCATCTTCACTCCTTCCCCTGGTTTTTCAAACTCGTGAAATTCAAGTTCAAATTAGGGGTTGTAAATTGGATTCGCACCTTTTGCGATCAAGGAATGGGAGGATCCGTAACAAGGATTAGATAAGTATTGATCGATTTCTCAGTTCTCCAATCAACGGAGGTCTAGACATCTTCACGAATCCCACCTTTGTTTGCTACTATTTTGAGAGCATGTTACAGTTTTTCATAAACAAGTTTTACTTCACAGTATCAATCAACTTATTCGATACTGTGAAGGAGTTTACGAGAAAACCGGAAATCGCCTCGATCGAAAACGATTTGAACGGTTTTTGGCCGATTTTGTGACGTCTACGTTCAGGTGGTCTGCCAGAAAGATTGAAGAGCAAACGCTTCCGTGTGGTCGCATTGGTATCGGCGACCGACCAGCGACCACGTTACGATTTATCGGGCAGTTCGATAGGGGAGGGGGACAGAGGCAATCAGAAAAGCCGGAAATTTGTTGTTTAAAACCTTTTCATGGTTAATGATAGTACAAGGGCCTTTCCTGATGTTCAAAATNATTCTATGCGTTGTTTTGGACCCTAGACGTTTTTCTCATACAGAGACAGGGAACTGGTAATTAGTAAGAATAGCAGATTAGAAATCAAAAATCGGGTGCTGTTTTTGGAATTCCTGCAACAACTTCTTGAGATTGTTTATACTTCTCAAGATGGATAGATGCAGATGGTTATCGAATGAACTTCAACCTACAGAAATCATTTCATCCATAACAATAAGGTGTAAATACGATGTTATACACCATGAGTCAATACCGAAAACGAAAAACCTACAAATTCAAGAATTTTTCGTCAATAAATCGGATTTATGATCAGAATCAAACTGATTGCCCCCTCAAAAAGTTTTCCTCTTCCCACTCTTCCGGCACATCTCAAATAGTGGCTGCCAAAGTTCAGACATTGGTAAACAGTCCCCATTTCGCTTTCCGATTATTTGACCACTCGTTATCAAGTCACGGTATAAAAAAATATTATCTGCTTTAATTCAATTGTGAAAGTAGAGGATAAGCTTAAACGAAGTATATTCCAGGTAATTAGTGAGTAGGAACAGAAGGATTTGAATTGACAGGAAACGAGCACAAGTAAAAAAACCAAAAACGCAAAGGTGTAAGGATGGTGCATAGGTTTTATTTTGTAGCAAAAGGTTGCCTGTGATTTCTTTTCTTTTTGGAAGCCCCTTTAAAATTTCAAAATATTCGTTTTTCGTTTTTTTTTTCACTATGAATAATTTAAAATGCTTAAGCGCCTCGAAACGCTCCAAAAGAGTAAGCAAAGAGTCATTGATGGGCTTCAGTAAAACGAAAATTGCGTCGGAATTGGAAAAACATCTAACTATCAATAACAAATATCATCAAGTACTCAATAATGAAACGTATTCCAGCCATTTTGTAGGGGTTCAATCGAAGAGTAGACAAAAAATGACAATTTATTCTACAAGTGAAGAGAGTAAAGGAAATCTGAAAAGTACCTTTAGGAATTGGATCTATAACGAAAGTTGTGGCTTTGTTTCTTGGTAGTTTACGACACGTTCCATTCATCTTCAACTGGGGGCGATCATCGGGGGGTCTAGAATCGGAGGCGATCATTATATATCGGACAGATGAGCGATTATGATCGAAAGCTTAGGGAGGAGATATGAAGCGAATGATGGACAATAATGTGAAACATAATGGCCACAAAAGCCACAACGATCACGGAACGAAGAATTTTATTAATCTAAATAACTGACTAGGATTTACTGAAGTACTGGAAGGTTTTGTTGAGTATAAGCTTTGATTTCATGAAGTTTAAATGAGCTTAGTGAAGAATGGCTTATATGGGACTGAATAAAAAATATGAAAGATGAGAGCGTTCATGCGAATATGACTCAGCATCCCATGCCCCTCCCTCAAGATGCCTCGTGGACAACAGCACTTTTCCCAACAAATTTACTCCTCACACATGACTGAATAAAAAATATGAAAGATGAGAGCGTTCATGCGAATATGACTCAGCATCCCATGCCCCTCCCTCAAGATGCCTCGTGGACAACAGCACTTTTCCCAACAAATTTACTACTCACACATGTGTACGAGCAGTGTTCATAAATGGACGTGAGAGCAATGTCAGATGAAAGCTAACGAAAACGAAAAGCCGGTTTTCAGTGGAACGGGAACGTTCGAGACACTACGTATGCTAACATCAGAAATGGGCGGAAATGCAAGGACGACGGGGGCTCACATGTCAACTCCCAGAACAAAGGCTTGGCCGTATACCAGTTTATGTCTATCAAACTGTAAGTGAGGCCAAATATGACGCCGATTGGCTTGGCTCGACGATGCGATAACTGCGATGCCCTGGCTCCCCAGGTGTCATCCAAGGCCCACGCGAAGGCCTCATGGGATCATGCTAAAGAGTTGTAAGCGGGAGTACGAGTATTGCACTCTGACCACAAAGAACGTCCACATGTTAGTGGCATTGATCAATACGTTGGCCCCTTGTCCCTCAGCGTTCCCGGATACCAGCGCGACCTCGTGCTCATTGACATGACCTCGATCAGCGTTCTGAGGTATAGTTACCAATTACTATCTGCGACTAATTACTTTGAAGCAATTCACATGCTTGAGAAGTTTCTAGAATAGTGCACGTTCATTGAAAACAATACCATGTGATATTTCACAATACTCACTGATCGTTCGAATTCTCAGCTGACAAGTATAATGAAAGGCGAGGAAACTATGTAGTTCGGTTACTGCACGTTCAGTGAAAACAATACCATGTGATATTTCACGATAATAGCCGATTTTTTTGGTTATCAGCTGAGAAGTGTAATGAAAGGCGAAGAAACTAGGTAGTTATGTTTACAATGCATTACAGTTAATGATTCGCCAGTATAATTACGAAATTGGGCAATCAAAAAGCGATTTTTCTAGAATTAACTCATTTCTGTGGTAAAAATTACTTCCAAGACCGAAAGCGTCGTTCATAAAAACCATGAGAACTTCAAAAAGAAAAAAATCCTAAACAAACCCTCCATGGGAGACTAGCGGATTGGTTTCATTTTCAATTTCAGCAGTTTACAACAAATTACATCTGTCTAGTCATATGTAGTACGTCATTTTTACTACAAAATACAAGTCGTTCAATGAATTTTGTCACGTGGAACAGAATGACGGGAAACGCGCAAATTCGACTAGTCAGTGAGAATGGAGGTGAAAGAAGTGCGGAGGTGGAGCCAAACGCTTCTCTCACGGGACTAGTAAGAAAAACAGAATGATAGGAGAGTTTCCGAGGTATTGTAATAGATTAATGATAGTCAGTTGGATCAACATGAGTGAGCTAATGGGACTTGAGGAATCCCAATAATTCTTATTAGGCAACCTTGATAATTAAAGTTGAGCAATGAAAGGATTAAGCCTTTGGCCTTGATAAATCACTCGAAAAGGATGCGCCCCGCATTCGACTTCAATTCAAAATCGTAGTGGCGTATTGAATGCATAAGTGGCCTATTCAATGACTTGTGGTGGCCAGCCAATGTACAAATCAGTGTTTCTATCCTCCCAGACGACTCTTGTACCAATTACGCGACCCCGAAGGAGGGATGCATGGCTTGTGGTCTAGGCGGATATCGATCCGAGATTGGAACCCGTGACCATGCATGTGTGATAGGGCGCCACTTCCCACTAAACCATCCGCACAATTGATGAATAGTATGTTGAATCTCATGAATTTCAAGTTCCAGATGCTGTGCGTACGTTCTTCTTTTTCATCATTCAAAGCTCATTCGAAATTGAAATGATGGGTCCGTAGTTTGTAGGAAGGCTTGAAGGGGTCCATTTGACGAGAAAACCGTGGCTTGCTTTGAATCAGAAACGATAGCTAGTCGTCGGTGGATGTGAATTAAAGATTCGTGCTCAAAGGTTAGCCAGATACGAAATTACAACGTTTTCCTCTGAATATTTATGTTTCAAATGCGTCAGCCTATCGATTTGTGGGGGCACCGTTTTCTTACATATGTGCAAAGCTGTTACATCGCTATTGTAATCAAAAATTGCAACAATGCTCCTTCGATTCACTGAAATTCTGATTCAGATCTCAATGAAAATGAATCATATGGTATACAGTTCACAAGACATTTACTGTGAAGTATGTAGAGCTGTTATAAACAAAGTAAATGTGAATGACACTAGAAAGTCAAGACATTCATCAAGATGCCATGTACTAAGGCTCATTTGGATTCATAGAAGCACTTGAGCGCAACTGAGCGTCAAACAATGACGGCGTTCTATAAGGAAGCAAAGTGCTCACAGCTGGGCCAGCACCCACCTCGTGGTGCAGTTTGCACTTTACCATGGGACTTTACTTACTTCATACTACTTCTATGGCATAGTTTATGATTTCTGCGACCGAAAATCTGATGATCTGTCTGTGAAGAAAACTTTTCTCACACCAGGTCAATAGAATAAACAATATCTCCAGTGAAGTAATAGTAAACAATATCATTCACTACAAATCATTTCATTGAAGAATTTATCTTTGATTTACGCAGAACTGCTGAATGAATGGGTTTTCAAGAGGCTTTTCCGAAAAGAATCAACGAAGAAGGATCTTCTACTAAGATCGAATCCGCTTCATGGAGAATTTTTCGGCCTATTTGTATGGGATGGTTGAAAACTGAACGTAAAAGATGGTTGTTTACCAGTTACAATGTTTAACAAGTGAATGTTTGCACATCGGAACAATTGGGGGTCCCCTTAGCGTACGCATGAAAGAGCGTCTGGCTAGTAACCAGAAACTATATTTGCATCATTGAGTAAGTACGGAAAGTCAAACCGGTTGACACTTCGTTTACAGGGCCATAACAGTTTATTACATAGACGAGAACAAGAAAAATGCAGAAAGAATACAAAGTAAGACTTGTAAACGTCAACAACAATACTAGTAATAAACGGGCAGTAAACGGAGTAACGTAGAGAAGATCAATTATCGCAAACGAACACATAAAGGCAAACAAAGGAAAGGCAGTGGTAAGTAGTAGTGATAAGTAGTAAATGTAGAGACCAGTCATGAAAAGTCATTCAAGCGCTTATACTTTTCGTTCATTCTAGTATACCTAGAGTCAGATCTGAACGTGAAAGCTAATTCTAACTGGCCAACGATATCGGTACTAGTAATACTTGAACCAAAGTACTATAATCACCAAATAGCAGCGACGAATGCATAGGATGATCTGACGATTTACTAGCTCATGCTTGTCTTAAAGAGTTCGAAAATGCAAGTGCTCAAAAGCAACACATAACAAGTATATTGCAGCGAACTGGTAGCACTTAGCAGAAAGCTTAGTAGTGGAAATCCTGGAGGCAATCAGTGGTAATGTCATCTGTTGTCATGTTGAATACCTCTACTTGTAAAGAAACACTCCACAGCTTTCATTTTTGATGTAACTTTGTAAATATTGGTAAGAATTTGTTAACTCATGGTAGACCGGAATCGCTGGCAAGTAAACATTTATCTGAAAGAGAAAAGCTGTGATTGTGCCACTGAACATAAATTCTCATCTCAGAACTTACCTATGTACCTCCACGTCCAACCAGAATCTCGTCCGAAATTCGGTATCGCCACTAAGCAAAGCCATGCATCTCACTTCCAAATAAAAAAAATTGTGGAGGAATCACGTAAAGACGACATCTGAAGCAGTATCCCAACAAATTTTGTAAGAATTTTGATAAGACCGGCTACAAAGATGAAAAACAAGCTTTTATCGACTTACGTTTCGGCTTTATCGCCTAATTATATATTATTCATTGGGAATCGAACTTGGATATTTAAGTATCCCAATATTTTCAATCAATACATCGAATCGAAATATGTTCAATACAAAATTTCGTATATAACTGAAACAGAAGTTCGAAAAATGACAAGGAAATAACAATCTTTCAGATCTCAGTCCCTCCTTACTACTGAGTTACTTTTTTAAGCTACTTTTCCTCACTCTATCTAAGCTGCTGCATTAGACTGGTGATCAGACCGTGGTAATACAGGGGCTCAGGATGGGACGAGCCAGATCGGGTATTCAATTTCACTAAGGTCATCCTTAGCCTCATTTTATTCGAAACTGAGTACATCTGAAACAGAAAACTCACTGAAATAATAGAGCTTGACTTGCGCTACTCATTGTCGATGTGTGGGGCAGGTAGTATCTGAGGAACAAGGAGCCCTCTTTGGACTGCTGCTTGCATGCACCGGTCAACTCGTCTTTTTAGAACGTCCAGTCGATTGAGTGCCTCATTCAGTGAATGAATGACGAAATCCATATGGTCCAATACATCGTTGTAGGCATCGTTGATGGGTGATGTTGCCCGATCCTCCATTGTAACGGGTGATCTTGCCCGATCCTCCATTGTAACGTAGTATCCAACACAGTTGACAGGACGTCTAGCACAACGCTCTTTAAGCTGGTTGGATGTTAGCGAATGGGAGGATGGAATTTCTCTTCGTCCTCCAGATTTTCAGTGTAAATAAGTATTCTTTAGATTTATCTCCACAATATATCTTTGTT